AGGGTATAAGAAATAAAAAATATTTGACATAAAATAATAAACATTTTAAACCACTTTGTTGCTCTCGTTCATACAATCACTATAACTATAATTCTACGAAATTATTAATTATTTTTAAGGTTAAAAAGTGTGTGAATTATTTTTTCATTCAGCTATGTTTGTGCTTTTAACGTAGTGTACTTTAAATTTTGCAGTAAACATTTAATTAAAATATTGTAACTTATAATAATAATAACATATTAAAAATCATATCATTTTAAAGCTTTGTTTTGAGACAGTAAATTAAAAAGAAATGATTTCAATTGAATTTTTAATCAATAAATAATGACTAATAAACGAGAGGTAGTCCTCAAAGCCTTTTTGCTATGAATGCAAAACCTATTATAAAAATGTATGTGTTTTTGAAACGCGCGACACAACACTGTTCTCGTAATGCTATTTAATGGGAAACTCTCGCAAACCCCTTATCAGAACTACCTCTCGTTTATTAGTCATTATTTATTGATTAAAAATTCAATTGAAATCATTTCTTTTTAATTTACTGTCTCAAAACAAAGCTTTCAAATGATATGATTTTTAATATGTTATTATTATTATAAGTTACAATATTTTAATTAAATGTTTACTGCAAAATTTAAAGTACACTACGTTAAAAGCACAAACATAGCTGAATGAAAAAATAATTCACACACTTTTTAACCTTAAAAATAATTAATAATTTCGTAGAATTATAGTTATAGTGATTGTATGAACGAGAGCAACAAAGTGGTTTAAAATGTTTATTATTTTATGTCAAATATTTTTTATTTCTTATACCCTAGTCTATGAGTTTAAGTTAAAAAGATATTAATATTTAATTGTAAACAAAAATGATTGCAAGAAGCGAAAGATAAGCCTATATTAGTCAGGTATCATCCGATATATTGAACCAGAAATGTAATCCACTTGTCAAACTGTAATATGGTCATTTAGCTTTTATAAAATAGCGTTAAAATTTAGATCTAATTATAAACGGATATTAAAATAAATTTATTATTTAAAAAAAATATTAATTTTATAAGTATTTAATCCGAATAATAAATTCTAAAATAAATGTTATATCTAAAAACTATTGTATTATAGAATATACAGTAATATTATTAATTATATCTTTATTTAAAATAAATAAAAATTACACATTTTCTGACAAATCATGATTTAATTCTATAGATATTCATATAAATTGTTATTAAATATTATTGTATTTAAAAATAGTATTAGAAAATTCAATGTTCCCTGGTATCATGGCCGTTACAGACCTCACAAATACCTTGGTATCGGCGGACACTTTAACATCGCTAATGACGTCATCGCTAATCGCCTTAAACTCGCGCTCAGTATCCCTATTAATATCAACCATTTTCTGGAGGGCCTGTCGTATAGACATACCATCCCGGAGCACGTGATAGGCCACTGAATTGGTGACCAACCGCTCGACACAACCGTTTTGATCGTGTAGTTCCTTCTCGAAGGAGTAGACGTCGTGTTCATGAATACCACAGATTTGTTGCACAGATCCCGGAGCCGCTGCACCCGTGTATCCACTCAGTCCCGCTCCGGTACGTACAGCCCCTCCGAGTATTCGATTATAGTGAACAGATTATAATTAAAATAAACTTATTAAAACAATAAGTAAAAGGAATTTATTATATTATACTGGTACTAATAATACTTTACTGTTGTTAGTATTTATTTGACGCTAAATTCAGTAGTGATAGTTGCTACTAAAATGGATTTAAAAACACCCTTACTTGGTGTTTTTAAATTATTTATTGACTAAGTATATATCGCGATTATTATGTTTAATTGGATGTATCACTCAATTAACAAACATTTGTTTGTTATACTTCTCATATGAAACCATAACTGACATTAACTACGAAACCGAGAGATTTGTCTCATTGCCGGCTATTACTATATGCGCTGAAAAACACATTTATATAACGAATGAATTTGAAAACAAAATCTTTTCTGATATTAATTATGACGGCATTGAATCCGATGAAGAGAGGGCTGAAGTAATAAATTATGAATTAAACAACATGTCTATTAGTAAGTTTTTAAAATTATTAATAATCAATATGAATCTTAAAATATCCTTTACAATTTTGAGTTACTTATTATGTTTAATAAGATGTATGTATCAAACGTTTCAAATAAGCTATTTATACTTTACGTATGAAACTATCACCAATGTCAAATACGAGGTCATGAATGACGTATCACTAAAATCATACACTATATGTTTCGACAAGACCTCATTTGTGAAACCAGAAATTGTGAACAAGTTAAATCTATCTCATACTAATCTCCGATATTACCAAAACACCTTGCCCATAAACAAACAATTTGATAGCCTTGTAAAACCGGATAAATTATTTACTTGTACACTTTTTAATTATAAACCTGGTGGTCACCGTATGTCGGATATCTATACGGACTGCCAAAATATCGGACACTATCGCTACTCTATTGACGATAGTTTTAATTGTGTCACATTATTTGCTCAACAAAATGTCACTGATCAAAATGATTATTTGTATAAAGGCCAGTCTATTAAAAATAAAAGTATGGTTACATTTAATATCGATGACAGAAAATTGATCAGGAACGGTTTGACAATCATACATATACACGATTGGCTCATGTTATTTATAATTGGTTTAAAATAGGAAGTGAATATTTTAACATTAACAAGTCAAACATGTGTCAAGTTAGTTATAAGACTACTGTAGTAAGGTAATATTTATTATTATTAAAAGACCCTGGTCATCAAACGCAGCTTAATTTTCGGTGAGGGGTCTAATTATCTAAATTACAATATTTTAAATTTAAAAGAATTAAAAATTTAAAGTTTTCTAACATTCAAAACAAATGAGTTAACATTGTTACAAGCTTCGAGTTTAAAATCTAATAAATTAAAAACTTTTATTAATGAATTATAATTATTGATGTCTAATAGTCAACGATCCCATTAAAAAATTTAAATTAAGCATTACTATATTAATATTTGAGATAAACAACAGATACAATTTAAACAATAATAATTTCTAACATAAATTGTAGCGAGCACATATAACATTAGGTAGGAGTTGTATTAGTTATTTCCAGATAAATTGGGGCGCCATCCGGGTCCACATTATTTGTATTTCCAATCGTATCGTATGGTTCTTCGTATTTGTGATCAATATTATAGTCACACTCTTCGTAGTCATCCATACGGTTGTCGTCATAAACATCGGACACCATCTCTCGGTTAATCCCTTTCAGTCTCTTATGCTTGCAATACATGAATATTAAGCCGGATACTAATGTCAACACCAAAACCAAACTGATTATCACCACTACTATTAATACCATAACACTAATTGTGTTTGTACTTGACTTTCTGAATTAGTATTTGGTTTCAAATCTGAATCGATGTCGGAATTCAAATAATATACCCTGACGTATTCTACTTTGAATACCGGGTCGAGCCAAATTGCATCCAGATCATCACAGAAAATACCATCATTAAGACTACTATAGTTAAAAACTTGAAGTCTAATAACTAATCTAAGTTCATCATGAAGGAGATGAAGCAGTTGGTAATAATCGTTGAATGTTTCGTAAAGATATTCCTGGATAAGTTGACCATCAATTAGAAATTTGAGACTCGATTTACTCCGCTCGAGTCCATACACTTGAAATTCATTTTTCCCCAATACCTGACGTAAATTATAATGATATTTTCCATTTATAACATAAGTTACTCCATGGGAACTGTAACCAGTCTGCATGTCACCCATAATATTAATAAAGCCATTGTTACCCATAAGAAATATCTGCGACATGAGTGGACAGCCACGGGGTAATAAAGCTTTTATCTCAAACTTTCCGTATCTGAATATGTATTTAGATATGATCTGAGCGGTGGTGTAGTTTTTGGAGTACAAGTGCCGGCGGACAGCTATAAGAGACAAATAGCCATTTTCTATTTGGATGTTTTCTGAACTATTTGAGAAACAACCAAGATCATTTGGCTCTAGAATATAGCATAATATATAAACTTTATTATAATGCACTTAATTTACTTTTATTTTTAATATAAATATATAATACTGACCTGTGCAACTATCTTCTCCATACTGTATAAGCCACTTATTAGTATCCAGTGAAGTACTATTGAATTCATCTCTAAATATGAGATGTCCCTGACACAGGGTATAAGAAATAAAAAATATTTGACATAAAATAATAAACATTTTAAACCACTTTGTTGCTCTCGTTCATA